CCCCAAAACCCCAAAACCCCAAAACCCCAAAACCCCTATGGAGAAGTATATATTGATGATTTTTAAAAAGAACATGAATATTACCCAATAATTTTAGAACCTCCACTAAACATTCCTTCAAATATTTGGGATTTCTCAGGGTCGTATTCTCTCCCTTTACCATCTTTTACTCCGTCTTCCCATCTTCCTTCATAAATATATCCATTTGGAGATGTAAGAACACCAAATCCATGCTTTTCACCATCTTTAAAATATCCTTCATAGACATCTCCGTTTGGATAAGTCATTTTCCCTCTATTTCCAATTTCATTGTCCACTATGAGACCTTGGAAGATCACTAAAAATAAGTAAAAGCAATTTACCAGTGCCTGCTGCAGAATTTTTGATAATTTTGCCAGTTCCTTGCAGCTGTCCTTTATAAAACTCCCCTTCTATTACTGTTGAATCGGGGAAAGTTAGTTTTCCTTTCCCATGGAATTCATCATTGTAGAATTTGCCGTTATAGACTTCACCTGACGTTGATCTGTAGATGCCTTTGTATCTATGGTCATTTCTGTATTCTCCTTCAAAGATGCTACCATTTGAGTAATTCATCACTCCTTTTCCATCTCGTTTATCTCTTTTCCAGTTGCCTTTGTACTCGCCGATATCCTTGGGGCAGTGTTCAAGAGGAGTGATGTAGCTCATCTCTCCATATCCATCTCTTTTACCACCCTTGAATTTGCCACTGTAGGTATTGCCGTTTTTGAACTTGATCTCTCCTAATGGATTAACCTGGGAAATTACCTATTCCATAGAGTCTTAATCTATAGAAATACCCGCTTTTGGAATCTTTCTTGCTAGCGCTTCTTTCCCCTCTTTTAGATTTTGAGAATTCATCCTCATCTACAATAGACATGTACCTGTTGCCGTGCTTGTCAGTGAAAATTCCATGTCCATCAGATTCATCTGCAATGAATTGTCCAATGTACTCACTACCATCAGCAAGGAGCATCCGAGATTTACCGACTCGATGATTTTTGATAAAGCCGCCATCGTAGATATCTCCGTTGGAATAGAAATGGCGGCCAGATCCATGTCTCAAGCCTCCGTATTTGACTGATCCTTCATAGTACTCTCCATTAGGGTATAAAATCCTTCAAGATCCATTTTGGATAACACCTAAAGAGAATTTAGCTTGAATAAGTTGATTATTTTCTGGAAATTCAAAGTCCAAGACCATCAGGTAATTTCCCATTATGTTCTCCTTTGAACATATCACCTCCTTCTGTGAACTTAATTTCCTGTAAGAAGTCATCGCTCAGGGATCCCTTAGAGGCAATTGCTCTTTTCAGCCAAGTCTGACACTCGATATGAAAGTACTTTAAGTCAGCAGCGATTTTAATATTCTTATGAGCAGGTTTGATATCTTGGATACACTCTAATCTCTTTTGGAATTTAGAAATGATAACAATAGGAAATTTCTGAAAGAGTCCTTTCAAGTCAATTCCAACAATGTCTTCATTATTATCAGAATTCATTGTCATTTTCTTAATCTCCGTTTCTAAGTCTTCTTCCTTTTGTCTTAATACAATGTCATTATTGCTCTTGACCTTCTCCAAGTGAAACTCTCGGCTGAGATTATCGTTTAAATACCTCTTTTTCTTTGTCAAGGTTTTGTGAAGAGAAGGCATACGTGAATCATTTCTTAAAGATGACTTTGCTACATTACTCCTACTACACTCTAGGATTTTCACACTCTTGTTCAAAGAATCTATAATAAAATATGAGGGTGAGAAAGTGCTTGTAAGCGTACCTCGAGGATCAGACTCAGAGTATTCTCTATGTCTTTGACAACTTTGAGAAGCTGAAATTTTCCTTGCAAATATATTTTTGTTTCTTGAACCATTAACGCTAAATTTTGATAGGTTCTTTGTCGAATTCATTTTACATTTTAGGTCTTGATAAGGATTAGCCTGAAATCTATGGACAGTCTCTAACGATCCATTCTTTCTAGTCTTCTGATCCTGAAGTACTTTCAATAATTCCAAGAACTTCTCCTTACTATCAACAGATTGGGACAAATTGGCAGATATAATTTCTTTTGGAGCTGGAAGTATAGTTTGTCTTCCTCTTTTTATAATATTATTTATATTTTCATCTTCTTTCTTCACAAATTTATTTTAACTTATTCGGAAGATATAATTCTCCATCTCGACTATTCTTCTGCTGTTTAAGAACCTGGAGAATTCTTGCCCTGTGGTTCTCTGACAACTTCGAAACTTTAGGAATAATATCAAAAGTTGAGCCCTTAACTGCATTTTTGCCACCCAGATCTAGAATATGGTTAACAAAGACCTACTTTTTCCAAAAAGAATGTGTTTGAGTTTTTTATTTAGGAGGCTTATTCTTAGACTCTAAAGAAAAGGGCTTGCTCTCTATTATTCTTATCTCACCATTAATGTACTTGTTCTTCCTCTTTCCAATCTTTGGGAGTTCTAAACGAGAGATATTAGCAGGAATCTTAGTGGTGATTTTAAATTATTTTCTACTAAAAGTACCTTCAGGCTTCTTCTTTTGCTTTAATAACTTCATTTTAATTTTATTTAAAATAAAGGGGTTTTGGGGTTTTGGGGTTTTGGGG